GTTCAGTGGACTGGTCAGTCCCCAGAAGATGCCACGTGGGAATGGGCCGAAGAGTTACTGAGTAAGTTCCCAGAATTCCAACCTTGAGGACAAGGTTGCTAAAAGGGGGATGGTATGTTACAGCACAAACATCTAGATGGGAGCCAGGTGGCTGGTAAACTGATTCTGTTAGCGGTAGTTAGGGCTGTTACTGATTTGTGGGAAGCTGTTATAGTTAGTTAGAAGTTGTTGTGAAGATTGTTGTAAGCCCTTTGTATAAATACCATACCCTGTGTACATTTGGGAGTTATGAATAATAAGACATCACTTTCTTCTTCCTCTCTTTCCTCTGTAACTGTCATTCTCCATTACAGTTAATTCGAAGCTCTCATTCTGCCATTAGAGTAGCTTCCTGATAACTGTAACAAACGTATGAATTCTTCAAGGCACTTACCTCGGGGGATTTGAATGGCCATCTATAGTCTCGACAGCGAAGCTTTGAGGTTCTATGGTTGGGATATGCGCTTTGGGTGCTGACTATATTGATGAAACCAGATCTGTTGTATGAATTGGGATAAGGTTGACGGTGCGGGGAGAAACACCTGTGTACCCACTTGACTGTGTCCTGAATCCATGGATTGGCCGTTGATAACCCGGACGAAGATTGAAATGGCGACGACGATCCCTGAATTCGCCGGAGCTTTCTCTCTCTAAAAATCAGGCCATCATCCATATATATATATCATATATATATATATATATATATATATATATATATATATATATATATATATATATGATAACACCGAAATATATGTATATATAAAAATATATTATATGTTAAATATTTTATTTTGGTTTGTCATTTTAATTATGAAAATAATTATTTTGACATAAACTATTTAAAGTATATTTGTATACTTGTTTAAAATGATATTGGTATTTTTATTTGATTTAAAAATAATTTTATATTAATGTTTGGTGTCAAATAAAATACACTTTGAACATTTAAGTGGAGAAGAATTTCAAATATCCTTCTCATATCATCATTTTGGCCATAGTGATATAAAGGATCAAAAAACAATCTTTGACATAGTTTATTATTTTTATCCTTTAGCTAAATGACAAAAGTTTAATAAATCACTTTGGAATCTTTTGTTGATTACACGGCCCTTTGATTTTAAAGTGGGTATGTTAAGATTGTCATTTTTTAAGCATGCACTTGTGGTTTTCGGTGATCACCATCTTTAGTGAGAGAAAGTGATTTTATTTGATTCCATAATATCATTTTGTGTATAGAAAATATCTATAATATTTTTAAATATTATTAGAAATATTTTCTATAAGAAATAAACAAGATTATTATTATCCCAAATTTTAATCTTTATATTTTATATTACTATAATCTTTTTTTTGAACAAAAGCACAATTTTATTACTACTCAAACGATTCAGTTACAATCAAGAAGCAAGTACACTTTAACTCAACACCATTCTTTTCAATCTAAAGTTAATAAAACTCTTCCTATGGAATTTGATCCAGGCTACATTATCATCAGCCAAGATCACTTTTTCTTGTTTGATCTTCGAATTGCGAGCCCTCCAAACTGCATAGCAGGTTGCAGCGAAGCCGGCTATCATGATCTGTCTTCTGTTTCGCCCTTTAATCCGTTTGAGTTCTTCCTGCATGTCTGTATCGTTTTTGTCCTTCCATTGGTAACCTATCCACTTCCCAATTTCCTCAATGATGGCCAAGGTATAAGGACAATAATAGAACAGATGTTCCTTGTCCTCCACCCCATTATCACACAGCACACACCTAGTATCCACCAGCATAAATTTACTTAACCTTGCTTTAGTACTAATTCTATTCTTCCATCCCAACCATTGGAGGAACTGATGCTTGGATACAGTTAGTTTATTCCAGACATATTACTATAATCTTTACTTGCATAAAGATTGTGGTAGACTGCGGCGTTGTTCGTGTGTCAAAGTTGGAGACCGGGCGCTTGAACGGTTACGTTTGCACTTTCAACGCTCATCCTACGACTTCTTTGTTTTTACCGCTTACGGAGAAAGGTATAAATTTCTTACTACTATATGTTTTAGTACGTGATTCAAGGCAAAGGCAAGATAATCATGTTAGGATGTTAAATTTTTTATATTCCGCTGCCTATCCTTGCATGGTTACTATTCAATCGCATGGCACCCCTTGGTACATAGCAAGTTCGTTGTGCGAGCTTACTGTTGTACCACATGAACTCGTCGAAAGTTGAGCACGCTTCCCTTTCTTTGCAAAATGCCCACCGACTATTCCTTTAAAACTTTGTTTTGATTGGGGGGGGGGGGCAGAGTAGGTGCCGTTTCTTCCGGTACATTACCGTATTGTAATAGTCAATTAGAATTTTATAATTTTCAATCTTAAAGCGTGGATCACAAATAATACCTATTTTATAAATATCAGGAATGTACAAATAATAAGCACATCATTTATCTTTCATGGGAGAGACATAAGGGTACAAATCTGGGTCACCCAAACTTTCATGAAAACATGTTGCGATTGTAATACACTTTTTAAAAAATGTATTTGTAGTCGGTTGATAAACATGCGAAAAAGTAAGAGTTGCATTATTAAAAACTTCTAATATGACATTCAATTTTTCAACAATAACAAATTCAATAGGTGAAATCATTATAAGAAGTTCATCCCTAAAAAATTCAACAAGTTCCTCTTTGTAGCTTAGAATATGTGCTATCAACTTGTATGTACTATTCCATCTAATATTGATATCTTTGGCAAATGTTATTTCTCTTCTACCCTTAGATTTACAGAATGTCTTCCAGGAATTTGAATGAAGACGACTACCCCAAATCCTTTTAATTTCATTTTTAATATTCGTCAAACCCCCTTATAGCTTCTAATCCTTGTTTAACACATAAATTTAAAATATGACAAGGACACCGTTGATGCAGAAATCTACCCATACTCATAGTAGGGGGGCAAATTTCTTTAATTCTAGGAATAGCAACAGTATTATTAGTAGCATTATCAAAACCAAATGCAATCACTTTATCAACTAAGTTGTATTCCCACAGAATACGCTGAAGCAATGGAGAAATATTTCTAGCAGCATGAGAATCATTGAAATCACGAAATCCAAGAACACGTTTATGCATTATCCAATCACTATTTATCCAATGACAAGTAATACCCATATAAGACAAATTATCATATTTTTCACCCCAAGTATCAGAACAAATAGTAACATGAGAATTTAAATTGAGAAAAAAATTTGCCAAATTGATTTTTTCAACTTTATACTGTCGAATATTTTCTCGCTTAATTGTTTTCCTTGAAAAACCTCTTGCTTGAGGGTTTAATGCATCTTGACAATAATCGGCCATTTTTTGCTTATTTTGCTCGTCGCTATAAGCAAAAAGGCCGCCCTTACCCCTGTTAGCACACCAAGAAATTTGGGTTTGCACTTCCTGTCGTCCCTTCTTTTTCGCCGTGTATTTGGCGTACTCCACGGGATGCCTCCACCTTAGGTATTTTTCTGGACCACCATAACCGCCGGAAACTCCCATTTTAATGACGGTTGCACAATAATTACAAGTTCCAAAAACTATGCCATCTTTTGTTTCTTTTTCAAAATGATAAACAAATAAATCTCATTTTAATTTTGTCACCTTTGTCCGGACCTTGAGAGGGAGTATTTTTCTTTTTTCTTACCCGGCATGGTTATTATGAGTTCACAGTCATGCCTTTCAGTTTGACAAATGCACCTGCAGTGTTAATGAATCTGATGAACACCGTCTTCTGACAGTACCTAAAAAATGAAACTATTTCATACCTTAAAGACGAGATAAGGAAGGCAATTATTCAAACAGACCATTTGTAATAAACTCCAGCCACCTTCTCTGTCGAAGGTTAATTACTACCTCCGTCCCAGAGTATTTGTCTACTTTAATTTTTACACACAATCCAATAAACTTCTCTAATCTATTTTATCTTGTAATTTGTATATTAAAAAATTATAGAAATTATATATTAATAATCTATATGTTAAGACAAATCAAAAAAGATCACACATGACTATATTTAGACTTACACATTGAGAGAATTTGATGAGTCAAAGTGCTTAGATGAACAGTTCCAAAAGTCAAAACTAGACGAATACTCTGAGACGGAGGGAGTATGACTTAGCAGGTAATGCAGACTCTTATGGTGTGTAGATCCGAGCCGTCTCACCATACAAGTAATGTCTCCATATCTTCACTGCAAGTACTATCGCCGCAAGCTCCAAATCATGTGTCGGATAGTTTCACTCGTGTGGCTTCAGCTGCCTAAATGCATAAGTCACGACATTGCCTTCCTGCATAAGGACGCACCCACGACTTAAAATATTTCAACTGCAAATAAATTTGTGATCGAATAATTGATTCATTTAGGAGTTCATTAACCCCTACTTCTGTTGAAGCATTAATATGTATGTAAAATTGGCTAGAGGAATCAATATACTAAATTTGAAGACGAGCCTTGCATAGAAGAGCAAGAGTCTTACGAAAGGAAAAATTATAAAGTAGAGAGGAAAAATTATAAAGTTGCTTGAATAAGTAAGTGGGCATATGCATACTCCTTATTACATTTTAAAATCAGTTTTGAGTTGCATATATGTATATGAACTACAATTGTTCATTTCTTTTTTATAGGTTCAGATTCATTAATTATGGCTTTCTGAAGTTCCTACTCAAGTTTGTGGAGTTTGTGGGGCTAAAGTTCCTACAATGTTGCTATTTTAGTGTTTTTGTGCTTTTGGGTGTTCTCTAACAACACTTTTTTGGACATTTCGTCCAATGCTTTTGAAACGGCCCGTTATATTTTTCTTAACTCATTAGTGACACTGACTTTAATAATTTTGGCAATTTATATACATTTGGTAATAGTATGTTATCAAACTGTCCCGTTCTAAATAGGTATCGTACCGATTGGTTTTTGGACAAAACCTAAATCGTATCGAACCCATTTGAATAGTAATGGTATGGTACCACCCTAATAGTTTACCGAAACATTCCATACCGCGCCCACCCCTAATTAAAATATTGTAAAGTGGAACAAACTTATGTACTCAACAAAGTTAATATTTTCAATTTTGATCTTTCTTAAAGGAAACTAGTATCACACTCGTGCGTTGCATGGGTCATAGTTACGTTACTAAATAAAGATCATTTTTAAGAATATAAATTGGTACTCCCTCCATCCCACTGTCTTTGTCCACTTACCTTTTGGCACACCATCCAATGCACTTCTTTAATCCATTTTATTTTGTAATTTGTATATTAAAAAATTATAAAAATTATATATTAATAATCTATATGTTAAGACAAATCAAACAAGATCACACATGACTACTTTTAAGCTTACACATTGAGAGAATTTGATGAGTCAAAGTGCTTAGATGAACAGTTCCAAAAGTCAAAACTGGACAAAGACAATAGGACGGAGGTAGTATATATTGGAATGTAGAGATTTCAGTATTTTAAAGTACAAAAATGAAATGATTTACAAATTTTGAAAAACTTCTTTATAAACTACATTACTCGTACAATTCGTGTGAGCATTCACATTGTGGTATATCAGGACCTTCAAGCCATTGCGATTTATTACTCCTGAAACTGCAACATACAGTTGCCAATGACTTAATACAGGTTTCTGTAACAATAATTCAACATCTTTTAGATATTTTCCAGATACAAATTCAATAATTTGACTTATCTAAGCAATAATTCCACATATTAATGTATTTATTTTAGAATTTGTAGTTTTTAAATTTTATTTTGGTATTTAAATGGTACCATTTACTTACCCTACGATATTTATTTTCTATTTTATTTTAGATCACTTACCATTTTTACACGTGTCCATGCTTGTAAATTATAGTATTAATAGCATTAATTTTAGAATACTTACCATTGTTACATGTCTCCATGCTTATAGTATTAATAGTAATAATTTATAATTTTTTTATTTTTTCATTTAAATGGTACCATTTACTTACTATACCATATTTATTTTTTGATTTATTTGATAACACTTACCATTTTTACACGTTTCCATGCTTGTAAATTGTAGTATTAATTAATTGTATTAATTTGTAATTTTTCTATTTTATTTTTGAATTTAAATGGTATCATTTACTTACCATACCGTATTTATCTTCTAGTATATTTTAGAACACTTACCATTTTGATATTTTTTTTTTCCATCATCTCCGATGGAGCCAAAGTTTCACCATTTTTTGGCTTTGGGGTGTGATGGAATAAATTAAAATGGATTTCTAAACTGTCTGCACTTCTTTAATTAATGAAGTAGCAGTTAGTCAAGCAATGCAACTTTCAACGTTGAGCCGGGGGTCTCTTTGGAAACAGCCTCTCTACTTTCGAGTAGGGGTAACCCTCTCCAAGAGTAGGACCCTACTCTTGTGAGATTTAACTGGGTTGTTGTTATTGTTGTTTACCATTTTGATATTTATTTTATTTTCTAATTTATTTAGAATACTTACCTAATTTATTTTATAACACTTAACATTTATTTTATTCTTGCATTAAAATGGTACCATTTGCTTATCGTGCTGATGTACCGTACTGTATTTAATTTCTAATTTTCTAATTAGAACACTTACCTTTTTTTAAAACGTTTTCATGTGGGTAAGTTATAGTATTAATATTAATTTTTCAATTTTATTATTTTATTTTCATATTTAAATGGTACTAATTACCTACCAACCACATTTATTTTCTATTTTATTTTAAAGCACTTATCATTTTTAGATGTATTTTACTTTGTCTTTTATTTTAGAACACTTACCTAATTTATTTTAGAACATTTACAATATTTTTCCTTTTTAAATGGTTCCATTTGCTCACTGTACAATACCATATTTATTTTCTAATTTTCTAATTAAAACACTTATCATTTTTAAAATGTTTCCATGCTTGTAAATTATAGTATTAATATTAATTTGTAGTTTTATTAATAATTAGAAAATGTTAATAAAGATGGGCTGGCTATCAACATCTTGGTAGTTTTATTCAGAAACTTTAATTTCTTAGTTATTTTATATTATTATAATTTCGGACCCTTACCATATTTTAATTTGACATTATTATATGTAATGGCCACTCTTTAGGCAGGAAAATGCAATATTGACTTCATGTCTTTTTAAATAAAGTATATGAATATTTTAATCATTATATTTTTTTACTTATTACTTATTTTTTATTAGAATTAGACTAAGAATAATTTTAAATATAACTATATTTAGATCCGATCATATCAAAACTTATTATAAATACAGTCTATCAATCGGGTTTGCCCGTAAAGAGTCAAAATACCCAATTACCCACCCAACTCTCATTTTATCTTCCACATGGCAATGGCGGAGTAGGTGGAGGAGAAGAAGAATGCATTCTCGGAGCTCTCGGACGACACCGTTTTGAACACCTTCCACAAGCTCGATATTGACCCTCGCAATTGGGCCCGCCTCTCCTGCGTCTCCACCAAGTTCTCCTCTCTCATCCGCAACCTCTACTGTGAGTCCAAGTACTCGCAGACAATTCCCTCCGTTGTCTCCGATCTCGTCTCCGATGCCTCCGCCGCGGCTCCTCCGTGTGGCTGGCCTTCTCTCTACAAGCTTGCCTTCTGCTGCCCTGGCCTCCTTCCCTCTGGCATGCTCTTGGAGAGTTGTTGTGAACAATAATGGAGGGACGGAGGATCAATAAGGGGGACACGACATGCAGGACATGCAACGTGGGGATGACCCTCCGGTGGTTCGCCGCAGAACAGGAACTAGACGACCTCCGAGATGGCGTGATGATTTTGTCTCGTGACACTTCTTTTATTTGTGAGGATTATTATTATTATTATTATTATTATTATTATTATTATTATTATTATTATTATTATTATTATTATTATTATTATTATTATTATTATTATTATTATTATTATTATTATTATTATTAGCTTTTGGGAACAACATTAATTATTGTAATATTTAGGGTGTCGAGCGGAAATATAAGCTCCTTTCCGGGTTTTTCTTTTCGGTTCTTTTCTCGGATCGTATTAAGAGAGTCGAACCGACAGGGTCCTAGAATATTATAAATACCTTTTACTTTAATAATGAAAAGCATAGAACATTCAAGCCTAAACCCTAATTCTCTCTCTTTCTTCTCTCTTTTCTTTCTTGTCTACCCGGCCGCCCCTTGGCCGTTCTCTTCTCCTTCTTTCTATTGTGCCTCAAGCTTATTATCTCATATTATTCTGTTGGTGATTTCACCAGAGTAAGGGAACACTCGAAGGATTCCCATTGTTTTTCTTAACAGTGGTGCTCTCATTGACGTTATGGCGAACGAGTCTACCAATCCAACACTGGCAGCGGTGGATGCACGCGTGACGTCCGTAAGTCAGGCGCTAGTTCAGATGCAACAAGATCTGGAGACTAGGTTCTCTCGGTTAGAGGCCACGATCCTCTCAAACCGATCCATACTTCGTCCTCCACCAGGGGGTCACGGCTCTCCATCGGGGTCTGGGGGTGAATCCAATACGGGTGGGCGGACACTGGGATACACCCCAAAACCGAAACTGGAGTCTCCCAAATGTGACGGCAAAGATCCAGTGCGTTGGCTTTATAAGGCGGAAGAATATTTCAAGTTTTATGACACACCGCCGGACGATCGCTTGAAATGTGTGGCTTTGATGTTGGAGGGTCCCGCGGCCGATTGGTTTCGTTGGCGCATGAATGCCGGTTTAATTGATGATTGGCATGACTTCACCCGTAAGTTTAAGCTTCGGTTTGACCCGCTTCACTTTGTGGATTATATTGGGCAGTTGGCAAAACTCCGGCAAACAACGGGCGTTATGGAGTATCAAACTGAGTTCGAGCGGATTTTATTACAACACGTCACGGGGGCCAGTGAGGAGACACTTATATCCTTATTCCATGCAGGGTTAAAACAGCATTTGCAGCATGAAATTTGCCTATTGAAACCCACGTCGCTGTCCGATTCTTTTGCTCTCGCTCGTGAATTAGAGGCCAAACATGCAGCCCTGGTTACCTCGGTCTCTCAACGCCAACTCTTGTGGAACCGTTCTGGTTCCAGAGGTGTTCGGGCAGTGCCTCCCACCTTGGGGGTCCCTTCAGGCTTGGGGAAACCTGCGACCGGGCTGATTAAACGTCTCTCTCGAGCTGAAAAGATGGAGAAAGATGCTAAAGGCTTATGTTATAATTGTGATCAAAAGTGGTCCAGGGACCATAAATGCGGCCGGTTTTTGTTTCTTATGGGCGACGATGAGGACGATCAACTGCCGGTGGATGTCCCCGATGAGACAATGGTGGTAGCCGATATCTCTAGCTTGCATAGCCTAACAGGAGTCTCGTCCCCACGCTCTCTTCGGTTGCAAGGTCGTGTTGGGAAGCATGAGGTTCAGGTATTGATTGACGGCGGAAGTACTCATAATTTTGTTCACCCCGACCTCGTCTCCAAAGCACAATTACCCGTGTCGGCTATGCCTCCGTTTCGGGTTTATGTGGGGAACGACGACTACCTTTTATGCAATAAACAATGTGTTGGTATTGATCTCGAGTTGCAGGGGACGGTATTTACGGTGGACTTATTTGTCCTGTTCGTTCATGGCCACGATCTTGTTTTGGGCGTGCAATGGCTACAGCAATTAGGCCGGGTCACGCACGATTACGCAGCATTAACCATGGAATTTCTTTGGCAGAAGAAAACAGTGAGGCTGCAAGGGGGTAGTCCGGAGTTCCGCACTGTGTCTCTAAATTCTCTCCATGCATTAAGGACCTCTGCCAATGTCACGGAGTGGTTCGAACTTCAGTTCTTGGGGGAAATTGGCCAATTGAACACTCTCGAGACCACGCCGAGTACCTCTTCGTCGTCAACACCCACGGTTTGCCCAGCGGCTATTGAACAGGCACTAACAGCTTATGCAGCCGTCTTTGATGTTCCCTCAGGATTACCTCCGCGTCGTGCCGCCGATCACCGCTTATTTTTACAGCCCGGCACCGCACCAGTTAATGTACGCCCCTACAGATATCTACATTTTCAGAAGACGGAAATTGAGAAGATGATTAAGGAGATGCTCGACCAAGGTATTATTTGCCCGAGCCGCAGCCCTTTTTCTTTCCCTGTGTTATTGGTTAAGAAGAAAGACGGGTACTTTCGTCTATGTGTGGATTATCGGGCCCTTAATGCCGTCACTGTTCCGGATCATTTTTCGATACCCACCGCGGATGAGTTGTTTGATGAATTGGGGGCTGCCCGTTGTTTCACGAAGTTGGATTTACGATCCGGGTATCATCAAATCCAGATGCACGACAGGGACGTGTACAAGACGTCATTCCGGACACATGAGGGCCACTACGAATTCCTTGTTATGCCTTTCGGTCTCACGAATGCACCGTCGACGTTTCAAGCCTGCATGAACTCCTTATTTTCTCCATATCTCCGGAAATTCGTTATTGTGTTTTTTGATGACATTTTGATCTATGGCAACAACATCACGGCCCATGCTTCGCATCTACAGACGGTATTGGCTTTGCTTCGGGGTAATTCATTTTTTGTCAAGCGCTCTAAGTGTAGCTTCTGTCAATCTTCTATTGAATATTTGGGCCATATTATCTCGAACGGGTATCTAAACGCTGATCCCTCCAAAATAGAGGCAATGGTGCAGTGGCCAGTACCAAGGACTTTACGGCAGTTGCGGGGTTTTTTGGGATTAACCGGGTACTATCGTCGGTTCGTCCGGCACTACTCTCACTTGGCGGCTCCCCTCACTGACTTACTCAAGCGTGATGCTTTTAATTGGAACCCCACTGCCCAACAGGCTTTCGAGGACTTGAAGAACGCAATGATCTCTACACCGGTCTTATGCCTTCCCGATTTTTCGTTGTTGTTCGTGGTGGAGACCGACGCTTGTGCCACGGGAATTGGGGCTGTTTTGCTCCAAGGCGAACAACCGGTGGCGTTCTTCAGTAAGAAGTTGGGGCCTCGGCTTTTAGCCGCCTCGACCTACCATAAAGAATTGTACGCCATTGTAGAAGCGGTACAAAAGTGGCGGCAATACCTGTTGGGGCGTGAATTCTTAATACGGACGGACCAACGCAGCTTGAAGCAATTGGTCCAGCAAGTCATCCAGACCCCGGATCAACAGTTTTACGTTCGTAAACTCCTTGGGTTTTGTTTTCGGATCGAATACAAGACAGGGGCGTCTAATAAAGTTGCCGATGCCCTTTCTCGAATGCACGAGGAGGATGTTTCGATGATGATCTTCTTGGCTATGTCTACTCCGGTTCTGCAGTTACTCGAAGCCATCCGTCAGGGCAATACCACGGAACCTGACCTCCGCCGCCTACACGAAGAGCATGCCAGGGGTGGCTTACTATTACCTTATTCTGTGTAGGATGGCCTACTTTATTTTCACCACCGCTTATGTATTGGGGCGAACTCACCCCTAAGAGAAGTACTTATTCGTGAGCATCATGATACTCCTATGGCAGGACATGGGGGTGTGCATCGTACATTCCAGCGCCTGGTAATGGGTTTTCACTGGAAGGGAATGCGGACGGACGTCAAGAACTATGTGGTGGCTTGTTTGGTGTGTCAAACCCCCAAATATTCGTCTCAACCGCCGGCCGGATTATTACAACCTCTACCGATTCCGTTGCAGGTTTGGGAGGATATTTCAATGGATTTCATAGTGGGATTACCACCATCTCGCGGACTGTCCGTAATCCTCGTGGTTGTCGACCGCCTCACAAAGTATATTCATTTAGGCGGATTGCCGGCGGACTTTGACGCACATAGAGTTGCCTTTCTTTTTGTTGACATTGTGGTGAAGCATCATGGGTTTCCTAAAACTATCACATCTGATCGTGATAGAGTTTTCATCAGTAAGTTTTGGAAGGAACTTCTTAAGCTAAGTGGCACGAACCTCCAGCTCAGCACGGCCTTTCACCCCCAAACGGACGGGCAAACAGAGGTGATGAATAAGGGGGTTGAGCAGTATCTTCGCGCCTTTACTCACACTAAGCCGGCGCGCTGGACTGTGTTGATGCCTTGGGCCGAATACGCCCTCAATACTAGCTTCCACTCGGGCTTGCAAATGACGCCATTTCAAGCACTTTATGAACGGCAGCCCCCCTCGTTCCTTCCATATACACCAGGGGAGGGTCCCCTGCCTTCGGTCGACGCCCTACTTACGGAACGTACAGAGCTTCTACGGATCTTACGTTCTAATCTCGAGAGGGCACAACAGCGGATGCGTGAAATGGCCAACAAAAAACGGCGTGAGTTAAGTTTTGCTGTGGGGGACTGGGTTTTGTTGAAGCTACAGCCGTACAGGCAAGTTTCGGTGCACCAGCGCTCTTCTCACAAATTATCTCGCCGCTATTATGGTCCCTTCGAGGTGGCGGCCAGAATTGGGGAGACTGCTTATCGTCTGGTGTTTCCGGATCATGCCCGAATTCATCCCGTTTTTCATGTATCCCTCCTCAAACCTTACAGGGGACCCCAGACGCCGGCGGCCGTAGCAACCCTGCCGAGCGACTACGTGGATGGGCGCCCAGTGTCGCAACCACTGCGTGTGCTGGATTATTGCACTATCTTGGTGAATGGTGGCTTAGAGCAGCAGGCACTTGTAGAATGGACGGAGGGCGGCGTGACTGAAGCTACATGGGAATCAGTGGATGATCTACGCAGGTGCTATCCCTTTCTCCACCTTGCGGACAAGGTGGTTGTCCAACCGGGGGGAATGTTGTGAATAATAATGGAGGGACGGAGGATCAACAAGGGGGACACGACATGCAGGACATGCAACGTGGGTATGACCCTCCGGTGGTTCGCCGCGGAACAAGAACTAGACGACCTCCGAGATGGCATGATGATTTTGTCTTGTGACACTTCTTTTATTTGTGAGGATTATTATTATTATTATTATTATTATTATTATTATTATTATTATTGTTATTATTATTATTATTATTATTATTATTAGCTTTTGGGAACAACATTAATTATTGTAATAGTTAGGGTGTCGAGCGGAAATATAAGCTCCTTTCCGGGTTTTTCTTTTCGGTTCTTTTCCCGGATCGTATTAAGAAAGTCGAACCGACAGGGTCCTAGAATATTATAAATACCTTTTACTTTAATAATGAAAAGCATAGTGTAAACATATTATATCTGCCTATACATGATAGAATAACGATAAATAAACAAATATTATATTCCTAGATTTATATTTAAAAGATGTTTATCAGATAGTGTTCTTCTGCTGATGAGACTAACATCTTGAAATAAATATTTATCTAAATGTCCATAGTCGAGTATTAACGAGAGTTGGATATCGTTAATGCATGTGAGACTAGTGTGTGTTGGATGTTTGACTTAGTCTCATAGTCAATGACGGTGTGTTCGTATCCGCACATGGGCAGATATTATCTAGAGATAATAGGATGCCGGACTGACCCATCCTAAAGATGTTGCTTGAACTTTTA